GGCTAAGTGCTGCTGTGTGCCATGCTGCTGTGGCGGCCAGCAGGAGCTGCCTTTCACAGTTCCTAGGAAATAAGCAGCTTTTCTCTAGCCCCACTTTGCAAAGAGCTTAGACTCTGGAGAAAAGAATTTCATTCCACTATAAGGCAGGACCCTTTATCAACAACAACAGTAAAAATAACTAGGAATTATCAAATGTGAAGTCTGAAAGAACCATGTGGTGTGAGTCTGAATGGGGTGCGTGTATAAAATGACCACATGAAAAAGGTTCAGAGGGGCCGTCATTCCTACACGGTACCTGCAAATCTTCAACTAGGAAGCTGGGATCAGAGGGGTTAACTCATGTGCCTAGGCTTAAGAACAGGTAAACCTGAGGTGAGTCACTAGAAGGTCAAGCAGTCTACCTGGAATTCTGCAAAATAGAGAGGGTAGCCCAAAATGTGATTGGTGACTTTCAGTTATATGTTAGGCAGGTAATTCCCAAAACAGGCTACTGACATGAGTTCCTTCCTATAACATGTAGGCTTATCCCAGTTACTGAGGTGATGTCTCTTGATCTTCCATGAATGATCATGTACCAAAGGCAAACTCATTGATATTCGTTGTTCAGATGGTTTGGCTTGGCAGAGCGGTATGATATGAAATTGTATCTATTACTTTGTATGTGTATAGGTACAAATGTCCCATAGTACACATACGGTGGTCAGAGGACAACTTGCAGGAGTTATTTTTCTTTTACCTTGTGGATCCTAGGGGCTGAACTCAAGTCATCAGATTTGGTGTCAAAAGCCTTTTTCCTCTGAGCCTCTGCAGGCCCCAGAGCTACATTTGCTCTTGAACAGTCTTCTCACCCATAGGAGGAACCGATGTCTGCCTTTCCCATAGATTAGAAATAAAAAGCAAACAGTGCTAACTGAGCACCCAGCTCAAGGATCAGGTGGATTAATTGGCACACTGACATTCCCAGACTGTCATTTGTGAGCTCCAGAAATATGCTTCTGCAAGTGTGGAGATCCTGCCTGAATGGCTTGAGTGCACAAGAGCAGTAGATTGGGGGTGGGGAGGGATGTGGGCTGATGAGTTTCCATAGCAAGATTGTTCACTGTGAGGCTGATCTGGAAGCATACGACCACATCTGGCTTCCAGCGGTCTACTGCTCGATGATATTGGCTGGGAGGAATCCACATGTGCTGCAGATTAGTCTGTGTACATGTGATTGTCAACCACGGTGGTATCTGACAGATAACAGCATTTGGAATGCTGGCTGAGTTCATGTGTGTAGTAGATACAGGGGCTAGGACACATCATCTGTGCTGAAAGAGTAATATTTGGAAAAGATAGTGCTTCCTGGTTGAGAATGGAAAGGCTGGACGGAGGGGAGGTGAAGGGATTTTTATCATTCTTATTGAAATGAAAACTGAAATTGGTGACCATCTTATGAAATATCTGGGAGGCATAGACTATGGTTTTCCCCTCTCTGATCCATTTGAGTCTGTCCATTGAAAGGCAGTAGGGTTGGGGAGGGCTTCTGCATGCTGGGGAATTGAACAGAGAGGTGAGTAAGTGCCTGGCTCCTGGAAGCAAATGTTTGCGGTGACAATGTCAACCCGTGTGATCAGATGACATTCAGAGGGCTTGCGGTAGGAGCAGGTGCATTTTCTTCATCTCCCAAAGAGCATTCACAGCTGAAATTATCTTCTGAGATAAGACAGCCATACAGTAGGTCAGCTGGCAGAGCAGTCTAATCCAGCCAAACAGAAGAGCTGAACCTTGTTCTACAGAGACCCTTCGGTCCCTGCCTGTGAAGTGCCTGGAGAAGCTTGTTCTAACTGATTCTGATTCTTTAGCCTACACTGCCCACTGAGGCTAAGCACAGGACTCAGGAACAAAGGTCTAGGGAAATGGCCTCATCTTGGACAGACAAGTCTACGTGAGACCATTCATTCTTAGCTTTGTGGCCTGTGTAAACTTGTGCAATCAGCTTGGGTTTGGATAGCCTTGAGATCTGAAAGACCTGAACTTACGTAAGGCTGAAAACCAAGGGTGACGAAGCCTGACTCAGGCCACCAACCTAGCTGAGCAGTACCAGACCAGCCGCCTGAGTCTGTGCTATCGCAATCACTGCCCTTCCCCAGCCAGGCCATGAGCCATTCCTAGGTGATGGTGTTAAGGCAGAGATGATACTTCCAGCCCGTCCCCATGTCGTGAGCAGAGCACCAGACCTCCCTGTATATAATTTAGAGCATTACTGGAGCCATTTTAAAGCATTTTGAGTACTCTCTGAACTCCCCATTTCAGTTTTAATTCCCCAGAGCACAGCAGCAAAATTCACGTCCCTACCTGATTCAGGAAGTATTAGTTTCCATAGAGGGTCCAGGCACCAGCCTTTAGATTTGTATACAGAATTGATATATGTATCTCCCATCGTTAATACAGACTAAAGATGATTTTGTTGTCTTACATCTGTGTGGCTGTATTTGTGTGTACATGCCTGTGGAGATTAAAGGATCAGTCATGTGTCTTTCTGAAGCATTCTCTACCTTGTTTCTGTATGGAAGCATGGTCTTTTATTGAACCCAGTACTCACCAATTCAGTTGGTCAGGATAGCCAGCTTGCTCTGGGGAAACTCTTGTCTCTGCCTCCTAGACACTGGAGTTTCAGACTGGCCATCATGCCCATCAGGCATTTAGGAGGGTGCTGGAGATTGGAAGTCCAGTCCTCTGCATGCAAGGCTGATGGTTTACCCACTGAACCCCTATGCCTTGAAGGTGGTTCTTGATAAGCCCTGGTTTAAGAAGAAGTGATGCTCAATGTGCCTCAAGTGGTTCTGGTGCTGATTGACACTGCAGAGGCTAAAGAGGGCCGCTGGTGTCATTTCAGTGATAGGCTGAAGTTGTACGTGGGCAGAAGGCAGCTCCTGGTGGGTTGTCTCTATTTCACAGATAAATTCTGTTGACTAAGTGGACTGAGTAGTGTTGCCTAATTATTCTTCCTCACAGGTCAGGGTAGATGCAGCCAGTTCTTATTAGAGACTAGTCTGTGCATTTTGGAAAACCCTGGGTTGGAACTGTGGGCCGATGGCCCGTTTTAGATACCTTTCCTCTCTGCCACTTGTCTGAACTGTGTTGAGCATATGTGCCTGGTGCTGCAAGACAGCCTTTCCCATGACTCTAGCAAAGATATTGAGAGGAGCACTTAACATGAGGCCTTATGCTGTGTGACTCAAGGAAGTCAAGCAAGGTGAGGCTACACCGCCAGACATTCTACACAGGCAGTAGGCCTCCAGATGACAGCCAAGAATTTGAGTGAGATTTTGGACAGTCTCTAAATCTGGACAGGAGAGATGCCTCTGGTTGAGAGTCCTTGCTGCTCTTCTGAAAGGACTTGTGTTCCTGCCGCCTGTGGTGGACAAACTCCAGCTACAGGGAACATGATGCCCTCTTCTGGCCTCTGGAGGCATCACTGTCATATGCACATACCTACACACATACACAACCAAATCTTAGATGAACAAACATAGGATACAGTGCTGAAAAAATACATAGGAAAGGACCATCCTTCTAGAGAAGCTGGAAGTCAGCACAACACTTATGTTCATCTTCTTGGGAGTTAGCAGGCTGCATGCTTTATAATGAGTTTTAATTCAGTAGTTTTGTATATTTGGATATGTTATTACATCATTTTGCATCAAGCACCAAAGTCAGTGGTTGCAGAAAATATATATGCCTGGATATGGTATTTTATTAGAAGTGAGTAGGCCATATGTTCCTCTGTGTGTGTGTGTGTGTGTGTGTGTGTGTGTGTGTGTGTGTGTGTGTTGCATACATCACACAGCAGAATCCTTGGATGAGACCATTGCTTTATGAGAGGCATAAAGCTACATAGATACTGCATAAAATGAAATTGGCTCTATTTGCTATTCTGTGTCTGTAACTCGGAAGATGATGTGCTGTGGTGGTAGCCAGTGGTGAAAACTTTGGAATCTAAATGTGGCACAACAGAGCATTCTAGGTAAATGGGGGTAAGTTGGGGAGGGGTCATTGACAACATTACAGATCAGCTTTGGTCTCCGTGATTTTACATATAAACCGGATTTAAGAGATGAGTTAAATGTGAGCTTCTTCCCCCCATGTATTTTATTCTGTATATTTCAGTGTTTCAATTCTACTTTTTCTACCTCTATTGGACATACACTCTGTCTATTTAGAGATATGCCTGGTCAGGACATAAAACTTTGGTGTCATATCTTAATCATTTGGTTTTCCAGAGGCAAGCAGCTTTAAATAATCAATTGCATAAAAATACATGGATGCTGCACACAAAAAAAAATCAATTTCCATCATAAAAAAAATTCAGAAGCAACCTCTTCTGTTTGTCAAAATTCATCATTATTAAATTCAGGCAGGATATTAACTTTATGGCTGAAAGGTTTGCTGTACGGAGATGAACTAATTTTGAACACATGGCAACTACATTAAGTCTTTGAAAAGATGAGTGAGGCGCTCTTCCTGTCACACGTAACTTATTAATATTTTGAATTGAATCATTTTCCTAAGTAGACCTGACTTTTTGGGGGTGTATTTTTCTCTCCAAGTCAAGAGCCACATGCTCAGCCAAGACAGATTTATGACCTTTTAAAAATAATGATGGAAAATGAGATGGCGGTGGGAGGGGACACGTTTTAGTGTCTGCTTTGCTCTGAGGCCTAAACTGCGAACTCTCCAGTTCTGGAAGCCTTTGAAATGCTGATTCCAGTCTTCTTGTGGGCTCTTAAACACCTTCTCAAATGACCCATTTTAATAACCCGAAAGCTATTATATAACGAGCAGCCATAATTTAGTCCAGGGCTCTAGGGGGACCCTCACAGTTCAGCAATGAATAGTTAATGCAGGATAATGTTTAGCAGGTTATTAGTTTTCACTATACAAATGCTGATCGGGGAACGCTTTTATAAGGTGTTTAAAAGAAAATGTAATTAACTGGTTGCATGCTTCTGTTGCAGCTCAAATTGAAATTATTCCATGCAAGATCTGTGGAGACAAATCGTCAGGAATCCATTATGGTGTCATTACGTGTGAAGGCTGCAAGGTAAGCTGCTTGAATCATTGTTGTTTCTATTCATGTTACAGGGCATCCTTGCAATTTCTATTTTTCACTTCCAGCCTACCTAAAAGTTCAACTACTTGAGATTCTGAGTGATGACAACAGGGTGCGGTCAGTACTGTGTTGTTAAATTGTAATTACAGCAGTTACATAGACTCTAGTCCTTTCTTCAAGACTCCAGAAGAATCAAGAGCAAGGGACCAGAGTCTATTGCACTGATGAGATACCTCTGGGAATAGGGAGTTGATGGGTCAGTGGGGAATAGCATTCCGTGTGCCAGAACACGGTACCTCAATTCAAACCCCTGATGCCTATGCAAAAACTCCAGAAATGGCCACACGTGCCTGTTAGCCCAGCCTTCCAGGGTAGAGATCCTCGAGGCTTACTGGCCAGCTAGCCTAGCTGCAGCAGTGAGCTCCAGGTTCAGTGGGAGACCCTGTCTTCCATGAATAAGGCAGGGAGAAAGCTACGGGGAAGGACACTGACATCCTATTCTGGCCTCCCTTGCTGCAAAGTACATGCACACACAGAGACCTTGGACTGCCCATTACTGGATTCAGGAGGAGGTATTTACTATAAGTTTCCCTTGGTTGTGACTAAGCGCTTCTGTTGCTATTCAGATGTTAAGCTATGGAAAGAACTGAGCTTTATGCCTGGTGTCACCTGGCCACATCTTAGCCTTTTAATCTCTCAACTTCATCCATAAAGTATCCGTGACACATGCCCTTCCACCTGTAAGGATAGTCCAAGAATCACAGGTGCTTATAAGTAACATGGAAAGTGTCACTTGAGTCCACATAGCATCTTCATTATTGCTATTGTGACCATTTGTATGGTGTGGCCTTGGATGCAGAAAAGGCTTACTGTGAGAAAGGAAAACAGAGATGCTTATCTTAATCAATCCAAGACCACACCCCCAAACTGTTATTCAAATTTCCATTGGTTAAATTTTAAATGCTTCTGCTTGTATGGGAAGAATCCTAAAACGGGATTAAAATAGCACAGAATGAGTGGGAGAGTTGCTATTTGATGCAAAAGGCCTAGGAGACAGTAATAGCCAAACCCAGATTAGCCCTGAGGCTTGTTAAGATTGGGGGTTGGGGGAAATCTGTGAACTTGGTTTGCTTTCCATTAGTGAAAACTAGAATGTATTGCATAAGATAGAATCTCCCGCAGACATACGTACATAATGGTGGAGAGATTTGGAGGCGATTAGCCTCATCACTTTTTAAATTATTCCTTTCACTGCTAATCATATCATTGGCTGATTTACATAATATGTAAATGCATCATCTAGATTGCAGGTTAATGAAGACGGATTTTTTAAAATTATTGTGTGCATTTGTTTGGGACAGGAAGAGGAGGAACCATGGCATGCATATGGAGGTCAGAGGATAGCTTGCAGGAATCAGTTCTCACTGCTGTTTAAGTCCTAGGAACCTAGGTCATCAGTCTTGGTGGCAAGTCCATCTACCCACTAAGCCACCTCACTGGGCCAAAGCATGGGACTTTTGTACATCACCAGATCCTTTTGTACTTTTTTAAAAGGCCACCCACCTTTCAGAAGTGGGGAACTCGTTACTTGAGGGGAATTTTGAATTATTCATCTCTGTGGTTAAGACCTTATAGTACTTGATTTTAAAAAAAGAAGGAAAAACTGTGCCCTTTCTTCCTTAATCTGGCCTCTCTGAAATAAATTATTTTAAGAATGAAATACTTGAGGGTGGAGAGAAGGTTGGACATAACACTGCTTGCTCTGAGGACCTAGCATTGAGCATGTCTGTGTGCACTGTAACCTGACAGTGACAGGGGCAGAGCCAGACAGATCCCCACAGCTCACCTGCCAGCCACCCGAGCTGAAACAGTGAATGTCTCTGTCTCAGGAATTAAGAGCGACAGAGGAAGACACCCAGTGTCCTCCTCAGGCCTCTGCATGTCCCACACATATAGAAAAAAAGTTGAGATACTAACCTAGCTATGCAAATGACCTGTTCGAGACAACTGGCTCAACTTCAGCCTCTGTGTCCCCAAAGTTATGTCCTTGGTCGAAGCACCAGGCCCTCTCTCATCCCTACAGGAGTGTTTGCTCTGTTATGGTCCTCCACATGCATGGCCTTCATGCATAGCGTGTCTCCTGGGTGTCTGTGCACCTGCCCCAGAAGCCCAGCACTTCCTCCGGGTCAATCAGCTGTGCCTCTGTAGTTCTACGTGTTGAATTGACAATGTGTTATCTAGAAAAATGAAGTTCAGGGGTAGAGTGGGGGTGACTTGTATGCTATGCCTCAGGTTCATTACTAACAGGCTATTCTGTAAGTCCTGAATTTACAGAGTACCAATGCATTTACACATGCACAGGACACAAACAGTAAGGCTAGCAGCAGTTACTGTCCTAGTATATCCAGACACCCCCTCCCCAAGTCCTGTCTGCGCAACACCTCCATGTTGAAATGGGGTTCAGCTGGTGTTGGTTCTGCTTGTCTGCTCACGTGATTTCCTAAAATGGCCACCATTAAACCACTAGAGAGTGATTTATTCAGTGTTGTACAGTATTGTAAGTTTGATTTTGAGGGATGCGGTACCTGTTGTATATTGTAGAGTCTGACTGGAATCATTTTACCCCTAGTTACAGTGAAGTCTACAGACTTCTGCCACTGTTATTAATTACCATATTCTAACCAGGTGGAGATGGTCCCACCATGACAAATCCTCACAAGGCCATACTTCCTAATCCTTCCCAAACACTTACACCAACTGGGGACTAAGTAGCCAAACATTTGAGTCGGGGAGAGTGGGGGGCATTCAAACACCACAGTCATTTCTGAGCTAGCAATTTTGTAAGTATATCTAAAAATCAACCTGACCGTAAGGAAACCAGAGAACATGATCATTGAAGTAATTAATCATTTTTCCATATAGTTCCTTAGGTAAGCAAAAACCATAGCTGTGAGGACTCGTCCTTTATTTCTGGCTCTTTCCAGTTTGCCCTCTGCTCATACCTAGACAGGGGCGGTGCACTAGGTGGCCTCTGAGTCTGCGCCCAGACTACCTGGGTATCAATCAGTCCCCAGTATGCTACGTAAGGGAGCAAGCCACTTGCTAATACTCACATGCACCCAGGTCAGACACTCAGGAGAGGCTTGCATAGGCAACAGGCACTTGAGGCCCCCGAGAGGTAGCTGGTGTTACCCAAACTCCTCTATGCCTTGGCAATGCTCAAGGTACTATTAATGGGATATCCATGGTCTAGTCTTGTTTTCTGTAGACATCCGCACTTTTTCATGTCAATGCACATGATAGTAAAAGTAATACTAGAACTCTCCCTTGGGGCCACGTACCATAAACACTCCAAGGAATCCAAAAGTGTAACCAACTAAATCCTCCCTCAAGTAGTTGTGGTTTATCTGTAGAGAAGAGTCCTGTTCTGGGCAGAAATAACTGTGTATAGACTCACAGATGCCCATATCCTGCTGATGGCACGAGAGGAATCTGGGCCTGGTTCAGTTTCATAGGCACCAACATGGGGCCAGCGAGGCATCCAGGGCTAAGGATTAAGGATAGTGGGAAATGGCACAGGTAAATGACCTGCCGTAGGTAACCTTGGTTGTATCCACTGCGTTTAGGGAGGGGCATACACCCCAGCTGGAAGGGACTAAGTGCTGCTTTCTGTGGGTAGTGGAAGGGAGCAAGGGTTCCCTCCACCATGTCTTAAGGATGCTATTATGGGAGAATACTTTGTTTGCTCTTTTGAAAGAGTGCAACAGCAATATGCAAGGGATCCCCTCTGTCGAGAGATGTTCTGAACTCCTGGAACCAATTTTGGTTGAACCCTTGGTAACAATGACTAGCCAGTGGGAACCAGAGGTTGGAAAGGACAGGGAAAAGCCTAGAAACTATGCCTGGGCTGTAGATGGAAAGCTGAACCTCTACCCTCACCTTGTAAATAAAGGAATATGCTGAGAACTGTGCTCGTGGTTAGACCTTTGAGAAATGGTCCAACGGCCACATGTCTCACTTCACAGCAGCTCAGCTGACGATGGAGCGTTTCCATCACAGACACCTACTTTTTGTATGTTTTTCGAATCCATAACTGTTTTAGGCTTTTTGTCTCTACAATTTCAACTGTAAGGTTGTTTTAAGAGGTATATGTGTAAGTGCAGATACCATGGAAGTCAGGAAAGGGTATCGGATCCCCTGGAGCTGGAGTGAGATTTGGTTATAAGCTTCAGAAACCAAACCTGGGAACTTTGCAAGAGTGGACATACTCTCACCTTAAGCCCTTTGCTTCTATGTTTTTAGGTTTATTGTACAGTCTAGTATTGGGGTTAGTGAATTGGTTTCCCATATTTAAGACCCTTTGCTCTCCATAAAAATACATATAACCTGCATATCTGTACAGACTTAAAACCACAGTATACTTACCGTATATGATTGATTCACTTGTCTGAGACTTAATCATCAATGACTTAGCTAAGATGGCGTCCTATGTGAAACTTCCTCTTCCAGCCAATCCCTGGGGAATTTACAATCATCTTTTCTTACAAGCATCTCGTAAAATAACTGTAGGAAGGTTTTTAAATAATATTTAGAGTGTGTTATGGATATTTTTCTCCCCACTGAGGTAGTCATCAAGTGTGTGGAACTTTGTATGTGCTTGGCTGGGAAGAAACTCTATGGCTATTCCCTTTAGGCCCTACTAGGTCTTCATGAATTCTGCTATTTTTGTTATTCAGTTGTAAAAAGTCACAATAACCCCTGAGCTGGCTCTGTAGGGTTTTCAACATTAATGTTTTCATGTTCAATATTTTTTTATTTTTAATGCTTTAAAAATCCCTAAGTCCTAGACTAGATCTCAGCCTTTTAAAATAAAAGTCAGAGCTGGGAAGGACAGGCTGTCACTTCACCCCTCAGCAACCTGAGTCTTCCAGTCTTCTGTGTTAGGTGATGAGGTACATGGAGCTCCTCCGCTTGAGTCTCCAGTGCCACAA